AAAAAAAAAAAAAAAAAAAAAAAAAAAAAAAAAAAAAAAAAAAAAAAAACTCACTTTAATGTGCCCTTCGACCCAATCTACGACAGCCAGTCGGTGGCTTGAGGACATAGGGTTGCTAAGAATTTGGGCCGATGTAGCTGCGACCGGGGTGGGGAAGCATTCCAGCAGTTTTGATAACACTGGGTCATCACATTGGGGGCACAAGGCCGGAAGGATCTTGGTCTCGGTAATATTGTCAAAAAGGGCGCGTTTTTGATGTGCAAGTTTTCGTTTTTATCTTCATTTGTTTACCGAGAATTCGGAGTTGCCCCTATTTAGATGCTGTACTTTGCAGAAGCTGATAGCAGAGCTGCGTGCCAAAACAATTGTGGATCAAGTGAGGAATATTGAATGGGGTAATGAACAAGTGGTTGTGACGAATGATAATGTTAAAAATTTGTTGCGATCTTTTGAACAGTTCGACAGTCAGCTTGCACAACGAGCTGCATATGAAGACAAGGTTACTACTGCTTTGTTATAACAACCATGACTTTAGCTGTACCCTGCGAAAAGCTTTATAGCTTTTTGTACTTTTTATTTGTAATACAGGTTTTTGTATAGTCTTTTTCCTGTTGACATATCAGAATATGGGTAATCGTCTGTGTCGTACACTGGATGATTCTGTAATCTTTTTGCCTTTTGCTTGATTTTTTTATTTTATTGCATTTAGTCTACGCATCTTGTCGCTTTCTAGCTTCATTTTGCATGTCTTTGAGTTTGCTGAAAATCAGGTCTTATGCAGTGGATTTGGTAGTAAAAATGAGAATTTGCCCGATGACAGCCTGCGGAACAAGTTTTTAATGTTTTCTTCATTTGCGTCCAGTTTATGGCCTTCCTGATTTGCGACCGTCAGTAGAACGAATTTTTTAACTCCTCTGTCTATTGGTCTTGCCACTTTTCTTTTACTGTGGTTACTTATTGTACTGATTCCTGGATTTCCTGATTTTGGTAACCAAATTTTTTTTTTGTTATCCAGTTAACCAAGAACAGTAGTGGTTTACAGCTGCCACTGCTGATTTATTCAGAAGAAAGTAAGCTTTCTTCGGTCTGGTGGATTCCAGGGGCTTTTAATGGCAACAGACTTTCATGAGGGCTTGACTAAGAATTTTCTGAACTGCTCACTCTTAGAATTTCAGAAACGGAGAACGCTTTGACCTAAATATGTGTAGTAATAGTAGTGCATTCTGTGCTGTTGTAAAATCCTGGATGGATCAATTTTAGTTGCTCAGATTTTCTTGCAGACTGTGGAAATAAACGGGTTTTTTTTTTCCAGATCATTTTATATGAGCAGCTGCTGAGTAGCATTCGCGATGTTGCTCAGGCGCTTGCTGACGAGCAGAAGAAAACTGGTGGTTTTGGAATGCGTGCGGATAATACCTCGTCGCACCAGTTAACCATGGCCTATTTGGATTTTATGCGCCTCAGTAAAACTGTGGAACGATACCTCTTAATCATCGCACATACCAGGTGATATTTATTTCCAGGCGTACAGAAAGCCGCCAGTCTTTCGGTTCGGGACTCCAGTATTTCTGAGATGCACTAATAGAGCGACCGCAGTAATGCTTGCGCTCTCCTGAGTTGTATACCATCAGCTTCTGCCCAACGCTGTGTTGTTCTCCCTTTCTTTTATGCTCGCGATAATTATGAAACAATGAAAAAAAAAGTCCTTGTATATATTCATTCAATTTCGCTTTATTTGTTTTTTTGCAGGGCGCAAACTGAAAAAAAGACGAAGCCGCAAGATCTGATTCGTTTGTACGACACAGTGATTGAAACGTGCGAAGAAATATTGAAACTTCCTGGCGCTGCGTCCTGTGAACAGTTGAAAGTAGCATACGGTATAAAAGTGGAGTATTATCGTGCTTTTAGGTGCGTTTAATTGCTGGATCGTTTTAAATTTTACTGCTTTTTGCCAGGCAGACGCAGTGTAGGGGAAAGTGGTGCACTTCCAGAGTGGCTTAAACTGCGCTAGTTGGAATTGCAAGTACGGTTCATTGAGTCGCTGTTGTGATAATTTGGTGCCCATGTCTTTAGCATACTGTGGCTTAGTTTTCCCACAGCTTGCTTTCAAGGATTTCTAGAACATGAAATTACTGTGACAGCCCAGAAGGCGAGTGATTGTTGCCGGCAGAAAGCTGCCATTCTAGCCGTTTCAAAAGTCTCAACTTTCTACAAAAAATTAACTACAGAGGTATTCTTGATATTGGCGTCACTTTTTTATTTATTTATTTAGATGTTTCTATATGGCAGAAGCACACGCTGGCATATCGAAGTGGGCTGAAGCCAGCGCTTTACATGAGCGTGCCATGCAGCGTACTGTGGCGGCTTCAAGGTTACTGCAGGATGTTCGAGAGAATAGTTTTCTTGTGGAAAATGAGGTTTACGATACTTTAATAATACTTTACAGCAAACAGTTTGTGGGTGGGAGGGAGAATGAATAGGCTCGCTATGGAGTTGAGTGAAGAGTTATCAGTCAGCTTGGCATTATGGGTTTGATTCAGACTTACATGCGTAAGCTTGAAGTCTTTGGATTTAAGACTTCCACTTAAATCACTTTTGTTAGTCGTACTGAATATAATTAATATTTATTATCGGGTTAACATCAGAGCGTTCCTTTGCGAATTTTTTTTGTAGCATTTTGTGGTTCCACCCTGTTGTATTTCTCTCGTGATAATGCTTTATTATAAATTTTACTGTTTTTGCTTTTACATGCGGTTAACTATAAATTTGAACTTTTTTTTTTTTTTTTTTTTTTGCAGACTTAATTATTTAGAAGTGCACATTACGTTTGATTATGCCTCTCCTGCATTCTTTTCAAGGTTTTATTTGCTTGCAGGAAGCCTTGAAGACATTGCAAGAACAAATAGTGGCATCGAAATATGCAGCACAGGCGAATCGCCTTGCTCAAGCAGCTGACAGTGTGAAAGAAGGCGAGAAAAACAGATTAATGGATACTCGGGTTCGTATTCGCCTTAGCGGCATAAATTTTTTGTGAGCCTATTGGTAATTGCGTATCTCATCCTCTGTGGTAGATGACAGCACTCGAAAGTGACTGGGATTGTAGCAATTAGCGAACAGTCGTCACTCAGCTACTGAGGCTTCCGTGCTAGAAGTTTGTTAAGGGCTTAAATGAAGGAGGTTTGCATTACTGGTTTGCGGTCCTGTCGGTTTAGCGAGCTGTAGATATTCCGCTCTCCCTCTTTAGCGGATTTGAACTAGCGGCTTGATCAAGAGATTACGTGCTGCGGACGATTACACCATTTTCGCAACTGACCTCGGTGATAATTTCTAAGAATTTATATGAAATTGTTTTGTTTATTTTAAAATTGATCTATTTTTCTAGCCCCTATTGGATACTCTGAACGAGTTCCGCAAAATTAAACCAGAGAATCTGCTTGGAAATGAACAGAGCGTTCGCGTTGTGTCACTGCCGCCGTCATTCATTCCTATGCCGAATAAGCCGATGTTTTTTGACCTGGCCCTGAATCATATAAAAGTAAGACTCATTGAAAACTGTTTTCGCTAGTTGTTGGACAATTGCTTAGGCAGATGATGTTTGCAAAATTTGTGGATTTTCATGAATAAGGTTCATTGCTTGCTACTTTTTTGAGTAATTTGCTGTTTTTAGATGCCAGATTTGGAAGCGAAAATTGCTTCCTACGTATCGGACAAAAAGGAAACGCCAGTGAGTAATGTTACTAAAGAGAAAAGAGGAACTACTGGTCCGATGAAACAGGACGTAGGAAAAGAAGGACTTGGTGGAATGATGAAAGGATGGTTCTGGAGGAAATAACGGTGAATCAGATTGCACACAGTTGTATATGATGGTTTAGTGGTATATTTGAGCGGAGTGAAAAGCAGAACCACACCATTTTTTTTGCGCAAAGGGTTGCCAAAATTCACCGTACGGCGAGAAGAAAAAAAAAAGTGAAAAAGTTGAGTTAATCTGCAGGGATTTATAAAAAGTACGCACAAAAATTAATGAGAAAAACGTCTTAGAAGCTAGGTTGTGTACGGAGGAACGAAGAGTGGAAGTGTATGAGTGTTGAATTCAGTGATTAAATCTTAAAAAAAAACGCACGTTACTTTAAGTTATGAGAAGCGTAGACGTTATTTCTTTACGCTGTGTTGTTGAAGAGAAGAACATCATTGTTAGCATACTTCTCTTGTCCCATGAAAAACTTTATTTGTAACAGGCAGAATGAGTAGGCTCATCGAAAGTAGTTTACATGCTGCCCATTTAAGTCTGAGTTGTTTTGGATAATTAACATTTGCTAGAACAAAACGCCACGTATGTATATGCGTGTATGTATATATGCACATATCTGTGTATGCTGCACTCAGTTGCGTTTGTTCACAAAGACTGCAGATATGTTCCCCAGCTGCTGTAGAGAGCAGTGATCACGGAAATGTATCTTCGGTAATCAAGCATCGACAGGATAAGTTTAGTGCCGGGAGTGGCCGTATTCTGTTTCACCTCAAAACCTTTCTAGAATGCATGTAGTAGTATTTGTTGAATCGATGAGCAGCAGCAGTCGGAGGGCGCCTGGGTGCGTTATCCTGAACTGAGTTACGTGGCACTGGAACTTCGCTCTTCCCGGTCTAGCTGTGTACAAAACACCTTTCCCTTCCCTGACGATGGTGACACCATATGTCTTATGACATTCTGAGAGTGCTTTTTTGATTTCTTGAGATTTTTTATTCCGGTCTTAGTACTCTTGGTAAATGTTCCTGGGGCGTTGTTTCTTTTTGTTTTGGCAGCTAAGGCTGCTTCTGTTGTTCTCTGTTCTATTGCATTCTCAAGCTTGTTTTTGCGCGGGATCGTGTGTTTTTTTTTTTTTTTTATGTACGTCCCTCGTATGCAGAGAATGATTTTGGAAAATTGTACTGATGGTGCTCGTGATCACCATCGTTCGGGCCTTCGGGCTTGATGATCAGCCTCACCAGCAATTCTTACCGGTTTGTTCACTTCTTTCGAATAAAATTTGTTAAAAATTCGTTGTGTTGTTTTTAATGTGAACGATGCTCAGAAATTTTCTGTGGATTGACTGCTTTTTATCATAGATTTCAGCAGGTGATTGCGGAATTTCAAAAACCCCTCCGGTTTTTATGTTCTGGATTAGTTTAGTCTGTTGATGTGTGCTGAGTATGAGCGAGAGGATGAAGCCATCGAACGCTGGCTTCATCCTCTCGTACGCTGCAAAGCAGTCAGAATTCAACGGGTTTTTTACGCGTTCTCGCACAATTGTGCAAATGCAAAAGCCCATATTGACAAGTGGCTGGCTGTTTATGTGTGTGCTTGTACTTGTTTTTAAATTTGCGCTTTTGTCACTCACTTTTCAACTTAGCGGCCTGTGAAGCTAGGACCATAAGATGGTGCGATCATGCGCTTACATTAAATTTGAAGCGAGCAGGTTGTTAACTATATGAGTGGTTACCGCTTCACACACCTTATGCATTTAGTAGCGCAAGTCATTGCAAATTTTACATAAAGAAAAATGAGCAATTTCAGTTCAACGGTCTTTCCTTGAAAATGAGCGATTTCCCTGCCAAAAAGCTCAAGTATCCGCATGTGAGATCCTCGCGTACCTGAGACTGAATTTGAAACCTTTAACTTGTGTTTGGGCAGGGGATATTCCGTTAAAATTTCGGCTTTTCAGCTTTTCTGATTCCCGAGTTGGCAGTTTTCCTGCCAAAACTTTCACTTGCTCGTATGCAGGGTCAGTTGTACGTAGAGGTTGATACCGCGTTTCAAGGTGGCACTCAGCAGAGGAGCTTGTTGGCAAAATTTCAGCGTCGAAACTTGTTTGGTCTCCATGTTGATATCCCCAGATAGACGCAGACATTATATATACATATACACAACACACACACCACGGTTGGTCACAATATGCATTTTTACACTGGCATGAAACAACTCATAAAAATGGCGGGGAAAAGAGTGGAGCAGTCGGCGCTGTGCCTCCGTTTCTTTACTCCCAAGTGGTGACATAGCAGTGTTCCCTCGCAGCCGCATTTTCATTCCAAGTGAACTGGTTACTTTTTCTAGTTCTCATGTGCAGTGCGGTGATGAAAAGTGAACTTGTCTCAGAACGGCTGAGTATAAACGCCTACGATCCCCCCAAGCAGCTTCACATATAAAGACCCGAGGGATGTTGGAAGCGATCGGCTCTAGTGTCTGACGTACCGGACTGCGGTAGTCGAAATGACGGGAATAAGAGCGGGGCGGTCGGCATTCGGTCTAACTCGGCCGCCATTGAAGGACGCACTCGTTTCTCTCCTAATACTATTCCGAGACTTTGCTCTCCGACACTGCTCGGCATTTTGTCAGCTTGCGCTGGGTAGCTTTGCCATGCTCGGTGGCTGGACGATTCGGTGGGGGAGGGGGGTGGGGCGCTAGGTAAAGGAAAATAAATTTCTCTAATTTATGAAAAAAAGTGAAGTCAAGGAAATGAAACCTGTGAATAAAAGCAGGAAAAAGCACAAATGAAAGACAAGCTTATGCGGGAAATTGTCTTACAAAACCCGTTTTCAGAGGGTTGCTTCCCTATTTATAAATCTGTTGCATAGTGAAGCTGAAAGCAATAAGTTGGATTAGATTTTCTCAAAAATCCCATAAAATAATTCCAGTGTGCTGCCGCTGCATCGCGCGGCCGGAAGGTGATGGATGGGAAGATTGGACGTAGTTTGGGGGATGTTAGTTGATGGTTGCCCCTGAGTCAGGGGACGCGACTGAGGCCAGGATAGTGGAGAGGGGTGGAGTTGCTGTTTAGAAGTTCAGGACGATAAACGGTGACAGTGATTGGAGGTGGTGGGTGCCCCGAAGCTGCTCTGGAGACAGGAATTGGGGACAGGATACAGGAGGGGAAAAGGGGTGCTGGAAGAAGGGTGCGGATCAGGAGTTCGAAGCAAGAACTCCAGATAGCAGTAAATGGGAAAATAAAGCAGCATGGCACTACTAAGAAAAGTAAATTAAAACAAACCTGAACTTGCGAATAAAAGAAAAAAGCAAGATCAAAGAATTGGAGCGTGTAACCAAAAGCGAAAAAAACAAAAGCAAACAAAAACTGAGCTTATGCGAGTAGGATTTGTCTTACCAAAATCCGTCTTCAGTAAGCGGTACCCGCATTTATGGGGTCTATACTTTGGTAAGACAGAGCAAATAATTTCGACAGGATTTACTGAAACTTATGTTTAGCTGAAGCTGAGGGCAAATAAATTCGATTGGATTAACACAAGAATTGCAGACAATTCCACAGTGTTGCTTCCTGCAGCTTGCAACTTTACGCAACAGTTATACCTCTACTTTTTTGCTTTCAAAATCTCACAGAAGTGAAGGCTGAGTTCATCCCCTAGCTCTCAATCTACCTGCTCTTGCTCACCGCGTGGAACTTATTAGCTTTCAGCTTTACCTAAACATGTTTTATAAATAGGGAAGCCTAATGACGGGCTTTTGTGGGACAGCATTACCTAAGTACCAGTTTCATAAATAGAAAAGTTCCCTAGTGATGACAGGTTTTTGTGGAACAGCATTACTTAAGCACCAGTTTCATAAAAAGGGAAGTCCTGTACTGATGATGGGTTTTTATTGATTAGTTGCCATTAGCAAAACCTCAGTTCCTTTTGCTTTTATTCATAATGTCAGATTTGCTTTAATTTACTCTTATTTATGTATGCAGTGTTGTCTTTTTCTTTTTACTGGTATTTCCAGTTCTTGCCTCGAGTTCCTGACTTGCATCCTCATTCCCCTTATCTGCTCTGTCCCAAATCTTGCTAGCAGACAGGATATAGTCCTGTCTCCGTCCCTACTATAACACTACTGTTCAAAGAAACAGTATTTATCTTTTTCTACCCAGGTACCTACTGTAAAAATCAAGAGCACACTTCCTCATCCTTTCCGTTCTTCACTGCTCCCCTCTCCCCTCCAAATGTACGTTACTTAGTCAATCGGCAAAGGATCTACGCCATTTAGTCTTTATATCTACTTGTCCTAGTCCCTTCCCCTGCCTCGAACGAAACCTGCCACATACCACCCCCACTTCCAGCTGCCACATTCAAACTGCCGCCATCCGCCGTGGGGCAGCCCTACCTGCCGTCGGGAGAAAAAATTTCTTGCAGCTCATTTATGAGATGAACCAAGCCGAGCCGAGTTTTTGTAATTGCCATCTAATAACAGCTGCATGCGGTATTTTCCCCCTGCGTTGCGACCGGTAATACAGCAGTTGTTCCTCCATTTGACTATGGCACGCATTCGTGAAGCAACGTCATTTTCTTTCCGTTTTGGGAATGTTCGGGCTTGTTACTGATCTTGGAAGCAACGTAGATTCAAGACCGCTGTGCAACCACTCCGAGTTTCTGAGTGTGGCCACGTGGACGTGAAAATGACCTCTACGTTCTTTTCACATCCCACGCCCCCATCACGCACGAGCGCATGGAATTTTCACGTAACGCCGCAGCCGGAGCATTTAGAGTGCTGAATTTTTTTGAGCATGTCTACGGCCGAGTTTTTTGGGAATCATTTTAATAATTTCTGACAGTCGTGGTGGCCACTCTCAATCCTTTTAACTAGAAGCATCTTCTGGAAAAAACAGTGCCGTTAGCGACAAAAAATTGGGGGAAAACTGTGCAAAAAGCGCATCTTCGCACCGACAATCAGTCCGTTGTCGAACGGTGCTTTTTTTATTGTTCGTATGTCGCGTTGTACGGCGTACGTTTTATATCTTTGCGTGCATAGATGCATTAACTTTACGGTATTACCAACTGCTAGTCAGGTCAGCATTAGTCCATACTAAGATATTTAACTGTACAAAATGCGAGGTTGTTGCTGGCCGAACAAAATGTGGGTTGGGGTTGCCAAGTTTTGGTTGCGCCGCTCCTGACGTGCTTCGTCTCGTTGTCATTTCCATAATGGCTGGAAATTTTTTAGCAAGTTGACATCATTTTCATAGTTTTACTTTCAGATTCGGCCAGCTGATTTATCTCTGAATTGCACCGAAAAATGGCGATGTTCGGCATGGACAATGATAAAAAGGCGATGCTTATCCGGGAAGTGCATCGGCGGCCGTTGATTTGGAAAGTAAGCAAGTTATCCTAAGTTGGAAAGTTATCCTAAGTACAGCGCACACTGTGATAGTCATCCTAAATTCATTTTTTCTCACAGTATGCTCCGATGTGCAGTCAATAGGTTGGCTGTCAGGTGATATCAGAACGTATGGACGGACTTTAGTGAGATCAGTTATTCCGCTATATGCGTGTATATATAGGTGTTTAGGTATTTGTAGGTATTTAGGTATATATAGGTATTTATTTATTTATCTATTTATACAATGGTTGCCCAGGCATCAGTTTTCGTGATTTCCACTGCGTCGCTTCTGTACAGCGGCAGTAGCTTTCCCAGGCCGTTGGCTTCGGCGCTACAGCTAGTGCCCACCGCTTGTTCGATGTGTGTGTGTGTGTTTGTGCGTGTATGTGTGTGCGTGTGTGTGGGCGACCTGTTCGGCGGCTGCCTGAATGGTTGTCTTTCCCACGGGTGCCACTCACTGTTGCGCAGAGTTCGGCGATTGTTGGCAAAGGGAACACATTTCTTGCCCATTGCTTTTTACTTTTTTTTTTTTGCGCGTCTGTAATAATTGTCTCACATATCGCGCTGATCTGGTAGAAATGCTGATTCCGTGTGTGGTCATGGACGGATGTATCAAATATCCTTCATTCATTTGCTTTCTCCATCTCAGCCGGCGTTTACTCTCTTAATTAAATGAAAAAACTTCCTTCTTTTCAGCAATTTCATTGCTAGCGTGCCAGCACTTTGCACTGCATTCGCCTTCGATATGTTAATTTTTAGGCCCGCATTGAGTTCCCGCAGCATCATTTATCTCGGGAGGACAAGAACAGTCTCTTCTGTGAAGCGTAGGGGTTTTAACACCTAGCCATTAATCTCCATATCACCTTTCTAAAAAAACGATGAAATATAGTCTCGAGGCAGTCCGTGAAAACCCATAAAACGGGCGGAAGAGCGTGCAAGGTACTAGGGCCCATTTTTGTTCCTCTTCATTCATCACTAAAAGGCAGTATGGGCCTGAAGGGCCCTGTAAGGAAAAGAAAAGCGGGACTGGAATACCAGCTTTGTAGACAAGCATTACCCAGAATTTCGTAAAAATTCAGATTAAAGAAAGAATAAAAAGAAAAAAAGGAGGGTCCAGATTGTTGCGATGAATATTTTTTTAAAAAAAGTAAGGGTCGGATTTAATAGAAGTCATGTGAAAGGTATATGTATAAAAAGCCTGCCTGTGTTTCATCCCCAAACTGTAAACACAGACAGTAACCGTATATCGTTCCTCATGACGAGTTGTGTTATATTCACTTAGCTTTTATAGCCCGGTGAAGTTTTTGGCGAGTAAACTATTTTCTCGGGAGCCGCGGAATCTAGAAAGCTGAAACTTTAGGGTAATGACCCCTGCCCACGTACGGCCTCACAAATTCAGTGTTCCCACACTCTCGGGTATCACCTACCCCCTTTGAAACTTTTGGCGGGTAAATTATTATTTCGGGAACCACTGGAGCTAGGGAGCTGAAATTTTATGGTTGTGCCGCACGTGCAACCCAGAAAATTTAAAGTCAGTTTTCCCGTGCGCTTGGCTATCGCGTACGACCCCGTGAAAGTTTTGGCGGAGAATTATCTCGGGAACCATGACAGCTAGGAAGCTGAAATTTCAGGACGACATTTTGTGCCGCTGTAGGTATGTCATAAACTCAAATTTAGCTCCCAAATATGCAGATGTCTTACATAAGACCACACGAAAATTTTGATGTGGAAATCACTAGCTCGGAAGCTGGAAAACTAGAACATTGAAATTTGGAAGGATGTTGCCCTATCCAAGTTTTCAAATTCAGCTTTCTTGTACCGGCACGTGAAATTTTGAGTGGAAAATTCCTCACCTTACCAGCCAGGCAGCACATCTACTATTTTTCCATATACGAAAGTGTAAAGCAGATATATTTTTAGTAAGCAAGCGTTCGCTGGAAGGAACTGCGCAAAACGCATGATCGCACTGGCTGCCCTGTTGCGCTTCGCTATTTATTTTTGTGCGCACAGCTGCCTGACCTTTACCACATTACTAGCTGCTGATAAGGCTGATAGTGGTTCGTATCACTGAAAATTTGCCTGACAAAACGCTGCACAGTGTCTTCTCGACATGCGCGGAGTTGCCAGAATTTGTACCCGGCGTGCCTTGATACTGCCACGTCTGTTGCCGCTGCCACACCGCGATGAAGTATCTGGGTTGGAATTCTTTGAGCGAAATGCTCGAATTATTCATCAGCAAAACGTCCCATTGGGCAATTTATGATATTTTCAACCAGTAAATGTAGGAATGTTTGCGAGCTACGTCAGTTCTTTCAGGTTAGTGATCCTTACTACAGCAATGTCCCTGCGCGATGGGTTGCATTTGAAGAAATTGCGGACGTGCTCAGCGATGATAAATTGGCTTTCTCCAGTACGTATTTTATCTTCATATAATCAAAATATAAGATATGCTGATTCTAACTTTATATCCTTCGGACTGGAATAACAGGTGAACCGCTGTTATTTACATGCATTGTGCAGATGTCGATTGAGATTACTTCTCTCTTTACCAAAAAAGAGGATAAAAAAAAGGAACGAAGGTTCCAGTGGATGCTGGAATCCGACCACAATATGGTGCAGTAACGGTTGCAGCAACTTTGCGAATTAGATAGAGTGCTGAGTTCCTTTCAATTAATTTTGGTACTTTTAACATCAGAACAGCCTGCATTTATTACCCGGGGGATTACAGCTGGCTCGCCATTCCCCATTCATTCGGCTAAAAGTATCTACTGGAGAAACAGTGCCACTCTGCGACAGACATCTACCAGGAAAACTGTGCAAAAATACATGTTCACATCGGCGAGCTTGATTTTGCTGCCTGGTTGTATCTCCTCATTTATGTTTCTCCTTGCCATATCATCATACGTTTTTTTTTGCTTGAAGCTGCTTGATTTTTCCCGCATTATCAACACTGGCAACGCTGGCATTGATTGACACCGGCTGGGCTTAGGCGGACGAGTACGGCACAGTGCTTTCTTGACATGCTTTGAAGTTGCCGGAGTTTATATTCCAACGTGCTTCGTTCTGCCTAATCTGGTGCCATTTTCACAACATGACAAATTATCTAGGCTGAGACTTTGGTGAACATTTTATGTACATATGCATATATACATATTTATATACATATATATGACACGCAATACTTCAGCGTGTTTGCGCATCTTACCACACATTTTTTCGCAGGCGACATGATCAAAGTAGCCTGGAAAAACATGATGGATTACTACAATCAGATAAGGCGTAGGCACGATCGTGCGCTTGCTGCTGGAATAAGTCCGCCGGAGTCGAAGTGGCAGTTCTTCACTATGATGCATTTCACAAGGCAAGATAAGACTCCGGTTAAAAGACGATACAACTGGATGCAACCATCGAAAGTACTCTATTTTTGTATTTTTGTGTACTTTTTTGTGTTTTTTATGTTTTCTAACAGGATTTATATTATATTTAACGTGGGTCACTAATTTGACATTAGGCAGTTAATCCACTATTTGTTTTAGTTGTGAACTGATTCAGACATAACTACTTTTTCAAAGCACTTCAAAAAGGGAATGTCGACAACTGGTGTTGCTTCTGGCACTTCTGTATCCTGTAGAGGGAGTTACGTGAGGCTAAGTCAAAGCAGTGGACATGCACTCGAGTTTCTCTGAGAGCAAGATTCAATTCCAGTCACTGCATTTGTCTAAAGAAAGTCTTTTAAGATTGATACTGATTGTTGTAGTTAGTAAAACCACTCGGTCATAATTAGCAGTTATGTTTGTTCGAATCTGCGCTTTTAAGATAATTTTCCTGTGCATTCTTAATTATCCAATTTTCGATGATCCTACGTTCTCCTCCCATCGGTTTAACGCTTTTATTTGTGACGTGCAAGATTAATTTGACAATGCAAAGGAGATGTTGAAAATGGCTCACGACGATTTCTGGTAATCAGTGAATTGACATATAGGTTTTTTGTGTTATCGTCTCAATTTTCAGATTCCCCGTCCTGCTGCATCGCTTGTTGTTGAAGATGACAAATTCCTGGTACGTGCTTTTCTATAATGTTTTCATTGTTGAATTCTTTTGACATTTCTTAAGTGCTAAGGCTGATTTGGTGGTATACATTGTCCGTTGTCTCTCTCAGATACGAGATTTTGGCCTAGTACTGCCGTGTATGAGAACTGATTCCCTTTCCTTCGCCAGCCGCATATTTCGTTTCCATCATAATTCGGCACTAACTTTCCTGGCATACCAAGGAATCAAACCGTGTTGAACTTGTTTTGTCGTGCTGTCATCAGTAACAGCATTTGGCCAAAAGCAACTGCCAGCTGCCTTGCTAGCTGGTAGTTTCTTTTGGCCAGGCGCTTTAAGTCGGTTACTTCCTGTTGTCTTGGTGCTGTAAATTGCCTTCTTCGCTTAAGGAGAATGCAGTGTGAGCGGGATGCTGGATTAGATTTGTGGTGCATTTTTGTTTTCATTACACATTTTTGCATTGTTTTCGTTAGATACAAATGCGTAACAATTATGAAGCGACTGCTGCTGCTGCTTCTACTGTTATTCCGAAAATGGAAGAGTCTCATCAACAAATTATTGGTGGCATTCGCAGAACAAAGGAATCGGAGAGGTATTTTCAAAAAATTTTCAGAAGATTCTCCTATGCATTCTTTGTTATCCAGTTTCGATGAACCTATTTTCGTCAGTCATTAGCAGTGATTTCAGTCAGAACGTTCTCTTGCAACTATTCTATTTTGCTTGAATGTCGTCCATTGAACTGGTCTTTTCTTTTTTAGCTTCTGTCCTGCCTGTGAGCATCACAGCTTTCTAGGCTGTCCCTCCGTTCATCCTTGTAAATGCGAGCACTTTTAATATTTAAGTGCTTTTGGTTAAAATACAGCTGCATCTAATGTATTATTAGTAAGATGCAGAAATATTCGGATCGGCCCTTATCCCTGTGGGAGTATTACTAATTACTTTTTCAATGCAGCACGAAGTGGGACAATTGTTTTATGCAAAAATATTTTTCTGTCACATAGTGAGCGCGAAAACAGAAGAAGCTTTCTTCTGATTTGCTGCAAAGTAAGTCTTTCAGGGTACGACTGAAAGCAAAACGTGAGGCATTACGTGATGCTAACATAACTCAGCAAGCCGCTTCACCGGTTGCAAATGGTACTTTTTGTGGAATTCGTATTGGAAATAAGATTTTGTTTAATCGTATGAGAGCCGCCGCAACACGTGCAGCGGAGCAGGCAGCTGTGAAAACGGGACGCTGCAGTCCGGAAGCAATAGATATAAAGCCATGCATTTTGTCTACTCGTTGTCGTAACAAACGTCGAAGGGATATATATTCTCCTGAACCAAATGGTGTCGCAGTGCCGTCAAAGAGTCGCCGGGAACTGCCTGGGATTCAACCTGTGGGGAATTTGCCAAGAAAATCAGCTGGGACCCAAAAGGCGCTAGTGGCGGAGAATGGACGGTGGAAAATCCGGCCCGATGATGACGCTCACACAATTTTAACTTTTGGTAAGTTCGGACGTTTTTTGGGAGTGTTGCTTGAGTGAAAGATAGGCTCGTTTTGTTCTGTCGGACAGTAAGAATGTGGATTAAGCATGAAAACTGAAACGAAATCTTTTGACATGGCATCACTGAGCCTGGATAATAAGAATTCGGTGTGTTTTTTTTTTGGTGTGTGAGTTTGCAAAGGGCTGTAAACGTTATGTTCGTAAAGGGCTTTTTATCCTAAAGCGAGAAAAAAAATTATAGTCACATTGACCTTTTTCCCCGATGATGTGGAGCCTTCGAGGTTCCAGTGGTCATGCAGTTTTACTTAACATCCTTAAATATCTTTTGAGCTTATTGTTGACACCCAGAATTACGCAGCTTTTTTTTGTCACGTGCGAGCGTGTCCGAACTCCATATTTTATACAGTCTATGGTTCGGGGCAGTTGTCTTTGGATATATTTTTGCACCTGAAAACGTTCTTGGATGTACAGATAAGACAGCACATTTTCCGTTGCATATGATGGCTGTTTTGAATAACTGTACGGGGATCGCAATCTGAGTGAATTGAAGAACCGCACACAAGGCAAAAAGAAATGCAAAAAAATTATGTTTTCTTAAAGAACAAAGAAAAAACGCAGGGTAACGATTACGGCCATCCCATGAGACGATGACTTGTTTGTGTTTAACAGTACTTGGGCACTGGCCTTGAAATGTAACAATTCTGGAATCGGTTCAGGCTGATTGGTTGTTTAAAGCACAGTTTTCGACATTCATTTCGGTGACCATTTTTAGAAATTCATTGTGTTCATGAATTCATATCTGTTGACTAAAATGTGAACATGTGTTGTACAGCTTACTAAAATGACAGTATCATTTTTATGCGTTTTTTGCAGCAATGCAATGCGAAAAACGCATACTGACGAGAGGTCGTCTGTGTGT